ACATTCTTCCCCAGACGCACTCGCTGCTTCCTATCCGTCAGGAAGTCAGTGATCCACCTGCAGGTGGAATCGGGCACGTTGAGCTGGGAGAGCTTGTCCTGGAGCAGGGATGGCAGGATTGTGTTGAAGGCAGAGCTGAAGTCCACGAACAGGACCCTGGCGTAGGTCCCCGGGGAGTCCAGGTGCTGTAGGATGTGGTGGAGGGCCAGGTTAATGGCGTCGTCTACAGATCTGTTGGCTCTGTAGGCGAACTGCAGGGGGTCCAGGAGGGGGGAGGTGAGGGACTTGAGATGGGAGAGAACCAGGCGTTCAAATGACTTCATGACGACAGACGTAAGTGCTACAGGTCTGTAGTCATTGAGTCCTGTGATCCTGGGCTTCTTCGGGACGGGGACAATGATGGAGGATTTGAAGCAGGCCGGGACATGGCAGGACTGCAGAGAGGAGTTGAAAATGTCCGTGAACACAGGAGTAAGCTCACTGGCGCAGTGTCTCAGAGTGGCCGGAGACACGTGGTCCGGGCCAGGAGCTTTGCGGGGGTGCAGCCTCAGGAAGAGTTGTTTAATCTCTTTAGCGGCTATTGTTAGGCTGGGGGCAGGGCTGATGGGTGGGTCGTTAGAGTAGTGGGGGGGTGGGGGAGGGAGAGGTGTCAGGGGCAGCATCAAAGCGACTGAAAAATAGGTTCAGATCGTCAGCTAGCTTGTGGTCATCAGCACAGGGGGGGGCTTTGGGTTTGTAGTTGGTGATCTCCCGTAGGCCCCTCCAGACAGAAGCAGTATCGTTGTTACCAAACTGCTCCTGTAGTCGTTCTCTGTGCCGGGACTTGGCTGCTTTCAGTTCTTTCCTGAACTGATATTTAGCTGCTTTGTAGCCGCTGCGGTCCCCCTCCCTGAAAGCAGACTCCTTTGCTTTCTTGAGCTGCCGGAGTTTAGCAGTGAACCAGGGTTTGTCGTTGTTATAGATGACCCTGGTCCTTGTTGGAATGATGCTATCCTCACAGAAGTGGATGTATGACGTCACAGTGTCCGTATATTCATCCAAGCTGTCTGTGGCAGCTCTGAAAAGGTCCCAGTCTGTAGATTCCATGCATGCGCGCAGCTCTTCCACAGCTTCATCAGACCACACTTTGGAGCTCCTCACTGCAGGTTTCGAGAGCTTTAGTCTCTGTCTGTAAGCAGGAACCAGATGTATCATGGAGTGATCTGAGAAGCCGAGGGCTGGCTTGGGAACAGCGCGAAAAGCTCCGCGCACGGTGGTGTAACAGTGATCCAGAGTGTTCTCCTCTCTGGTCGGGCATTTGATAAACTGTCTGTATTTGGGTAATTCCTGGCTCAAGTTTCCCTTATTAAAATCCCCCAGGATAATAATCAGAGAGTCCGGGTATAAGCGTTCCATACACAGTACTTGCTCTGCGAGTGCGCGCTGAGCCTCGCGCGCGTCCGCGCATGGCGGTATGTAAACAGAGGCAAGAATGAATGAAACAATTTCCCGCGGGGAGTAATATGGTTTACAATGAATGAAAAGATATTCCAGAGCAGGAGAGCAGTGCTTGGAGATCACTGTCACATCGTTACACCAGTTTGTATTGACGTAGAAACAGAGCCCTCCGCCTCTGCTCTTCCCTGAGAGCGCACAATGGCGATCCGCGCGAAACAGCCCAAAGCCCTGCAGCTCCAGAGCGCAGTCCGGGATCCGCTCATTTAGCCAGGTCTCAGTGAAGCAGAGGACACAGGATGTGGCGAAGTCCTTGTTTCTTCTCATGAGCAGGCTGAGTTCGTCCATCTTATTGCCCAGTGAGCGTACGTTGGAGAGAAAAATGCCGGGGAGAGCCGTGCGCGCTCCTCTCCTCCTAAGACGCACGAGCAGGCCTCCTCGCTTTCCCCTTTTACGGGCCCACACTTTTTTGGCTAGAACATGAACTAAATCAGCCGCAGATGCCAAGAAAACAGGCAATAGGTCCATGGGAACGGTGGGTCGGATGTTCATAAGTTCCTCACGGGTGTAGGAACAGCCAGATGCACAGTTAAAAAGTAAAAACAAAAGAAAAAGAGAGCAGCAAAGAGCCATGTCGACCGTACGAGGCGCATTACGAAAATGCTATCCATATCCATGCAGTGCATTGGCATACACGTCCTTTTGAAGAAAAAGTAGCGCAGGTTTTTGCTGGCGTGACATTATATTTTAGATTGAGTTTTGATGAAACAAGGAAGAGAATGTGTTTCGGGGAGGGGGTCTCAGATTGTGACCATTCACAGCGGACCACTAGCCCCCACTTTCTTGAGAAATCTACAGGTCTGTCGACAGCTGAGTTAGCACAACAAGCAACGGCGCTAACATGAAGCTTCCGTGTCTTCGTCACCGGTTATAGCCCAAAAAAATCCAAAAGAAAGTCCCGTTCCTCCGCGCTTCCCGGTTCTATCATTCTATGGTCACGCCATCCACGCTCAAATGTACAATACATGATTCTATCCATGTTGGGAGACGCTATCTCCGTAAACAACAGTGGGTGTGCGGTAGTGGGGGACGATAGCTTCGTGGGTGCGGGGAGGGGAGGAGAAAGAGCAAGGCCAGCGAGTCCGCTGTAACCTGGCAAGAGCCAGATTGATGATTGTGTAGAACTCTAATGCGTTCTCCACAATATCAATATGGGACTTCTGCAGGAGAATCCTTTCGGGGAAAGGAGGGATAAGCAGCAGAATACTTCAAGCTGATTGGGCGAAGTGACGCTGTGTGCCCGCCTACCAAGGTTTGACTTAAACCAATCCCGGTAACATTATGTCGTCATTGGCGTGCACAAAGCGCCTCTCGCTGTTCATCTTTCAAAAAAGAAATTGGAGATTCTGCTAAAACTGACTTGATAGCCTCAGCTACGCGTCCGTCCTCCTGCGTAGCCATGTTTGTTTTGCTTCGGCCCGGCCCTTCTTGCCTTCGTCAAACCCGGATATCCCGCCCTAAACCCCCAGACTGGCGCGTGATTGGCTTGAACACCTAGATGTTCTACTCGAAAAGGGTTGGCGGGAGCGGGACAAGTTGTACTCTCGAGTGATTGTGAACTCACAAATACCGCGAGAATTCAGCTTGCAGGCAAGGTTAAGTCCGCTGCTTCGAAATCCCAAAGTCAGTTAGTGCAGCTTTAAGTGATCGTCCATCCTCTCTTTGATTTGATGCTCAAGGCGTGGACGTAAAAAATCAATTGTGACACCCCTAGTATGTAGAGCTTCACAATATATCGAAAAGATTTCCATATTGAACATATGCGCAATAAAAAAATAGACAAGAAAACAGACGGACACATCAACATTCAACAAAAACAACAAACAAACAAAAAGTATATAAATATATGCATTTGAATGTCATTAATGTTTTTATTGGTCTCTTGCATTTCAATACAGATGCAATTTTAGGTCCATCCAACCATCCATCCATTTTCTTCCCCTTAATCCAGTTCTGGGTCGGCGGGGGTGGGCGGGGGAGGGGGTGGCAGTCAGAGCTGCACCCAGTACACTTAGCACCAGCCCCTCACTGATCCTCCTGCAGGTGGTGCGTCCACAGGAGCTGAGATCTTCCAGCTGAGATCTAAAATAGTCATATAATTAAACATTTATTAACCTTGCAAAAAGACCAAGGTCTGATATTTCTCTGTACAGACCTCACGCTTGTTTAATAAGCCGTTAATATTGAATGTCGCACTAATTTCCTATATCGTGCAGTCCTACTAGTATGCAATAATTCTTTGTGCAATATATTCTTTGCTTTTGCCAGGATAGAAATACTTTGGGACAGTTTTTTTTTTTTTTTAAATAATTATTGTCAGATTTCCAGCATTACCCAATTGATTTGTCTCACTCTTGTCTCTCTGGTCTCACTCTAGTCGGTCTCTGGTTTCTCTGTGTTATGACAATTAAATTCTTTGCTTGCAGTCACGTGACGCATACTTCCGGTTGACGAAGTGGTGGTCAGGCCAGCAAGAGTTGCTGCTGATATGTGGAGAAAATGCGACTCTTCCGAGTATTTCTTTGCTTTGTTGGATATTTCATGACACTTTGAAGCTACTGTGGTTAACGTTCTAACTCATCATTCTAACAATATGCACAAGGCAGAATTTTTCCACTACACGTTTTGGTAATATCAAGGTTGAAGCTACTGGCACCGTGGCAAATGCTAAAATGCTAATAATTCTCTTAAGTCTCCATTCCTCTGCTGTATGTCATTTACATTCTGTAACGTCTTTGTCTATGCTGTCTCTACCATCGACAATTAAACATGTCTTCTGTCTGAATTAAAGACACGATCCTAGACTGTCATTTTCTTCACTAAATTCAAATCCACTAGCTAGTCTTACAATCAAGCTTTTGCACTGCTAAACAAATGAAGGTTTGGAAAAACATTAGGGTTAAGGAATTCAGAGTTAAGGTCCTGAAGGACAACTACTGCATCGTAAAGAGCCGTTCAAGTAACGATTGGTGAATTAACTTGTCATTCTCAACAAAACAATGCGTCTGAGTGCTGTGTTCTTTTCGTGTCAAACATTCACAGTGTTTATCTAAAACACCAACTCATACCTGACAATGAATTAAATAAAGATGGGGATGTAATAACATGTGACTGCATGGCTGGGTAAATAATCCTTCGAGGTAAAAGCGTCTGCTAGTGAAATGTTAGCGAGCCACTTTTCCTGCGTCTTTTCGTAAAGTCCTTAGTGCGAGGTTCTTTATTAATCTCTTCGCGAGGAACCCTAAAGTATCCATTAAAGGTTTTGCGATTCGATTGGTAAGAAAACTTAAAACAACACATGCAAAAGGCATATTCAGACACACTGCTCTAGTGAACAACTAGCTCGGCTGACCACCACTTTTTGATACGCATATGTAATGAGGACGTGACGTCAATTGCAAGCAAGCAATTGACATGTTTCTGTCGTCCCTGTGGTGAAAAACTCAGCTTTCCCACAGTTGATCTTCAGATTTGACCTTGACGTTCATCTCTGTTCTCTTGTCCAGATGATGTGCGAGGTGATGCCCACCATCAATGAGACCGAAGGGCGCCGAGGCTCCGGGTCCCCGCTGCAGTCCGACTCTGAGGGCCACTTTGAGTCCCTGATGGTATCCATGCTGGAGGAAAGGGACCGGCTGCTGGAGACGCTCAGAGAGACGCAGGAGAACCTGGGGATGGCACAGGGGAAGCTCCACGACGTCAGCCATGAGAGAGACTCCCTCCAGAGGCAGCTCAACACGGCTCTGCCACAGGTGAGCGAGACCAGAGAGCGAGACCAGAGAGCGAGACCAGAGAGCGAGACCAGAGAGCGAGACCAGAGAGCGAGACCAGAGAGCGAGACCAGAGAGCGAGACCAGAGAGCGAGACCAGAGAGCGAGACCAGAGAGCGAGACCAGAGAGCGAGACCAGAGAGCGAGACCAGAGAGCGAGACCAGAGAGCGAGACCAGAGAGCGAGACCAGAGAGCGAGACCAGAGAGCGAGACCAGAGAGCGAGACCAGAGAGCGAGACCAGAGAGCGAGACCAGAGAGCGAGACCAGAGAGCGAGACCAGAGAGCGAGACCAGAGAGCGAGACCAGAGAGCAAGAAGGTCCTTGGTTCGAATCCCGGCCGGACAAGGGCCTTTCTGAGTGGAGTTTGCATGTTCTCCCCGTGTCTGCGTAGGTTTCCTCCGGGTACTCCGGTTTCCCCTACCACTAAAAATATGTACAATAGGTCTGGCATGCGCCTCCTGTTCGGCGACCCCGCTCCCATCTCTGTGTGGAGTGAGAGGACAAGTGCCCAAAAAAATAACAATTGTAAACCGCTTTGTGACTCTGGTCTGTGAACTTACTTACTTAGAGCGAGACCAGAGAGCGAGACCAGAGAGCGAGACTGTATATAGTCAATGCTCCTGCCTCTGTCTGAACCATCTGTCCATGGCTCTTTGTTATGAAACTGTCTCATGTTTCTATTGGCTCTTACCTGTAACTGCTCGGGTTTCATACAGGATGTTTAAAAAGGCTTCATTTAAAATGCCCCAATCCTCTTACTATGACTCAACCTGTTTTACAATCTGATCTTTCTCTTTCTGGTGACTCACTGGTATCTCTCTTGTTCTTTCTTGTTTTTCTCTCTCCTTGTGCACGCGATTCTCCCAAAACAAACATGCAGCTTAGCAAAGATTCAGGAATCTAGTAGTAACTATAGTGATGGGTAAGAAAACTCTCACGTATCGTTTTTCGGCACATTCCAACGAACTGTATTGATACGTTGCCTCAACAAGGTGTTTCTTGTGCTGCTCTATACTGACACCGGTGGATCTGATAATCAATGCATCCAACTCACTGATTCAATGAGCTTTACATACATGTTCTGCACACAATATTACGTAACTGCAATTGTCTGGTTATTTTATTTATGTAAAATTAAAGGTGATAGTTGTGAATGTAATCATTAAGCAAAATGTAATTGATTGATTTTTGATTTATAAAATATAGATATAAATATATAATATATATAATGATATATATTATAATTTATTTTTCAAAACAATAAGCATGTTCCAAAGTGCACTGTAAACCCTGGCAACTAAAGTATACTGAAAAAACATGTTTCTTCAGCTTAAAAATTTTCTCAAATTATTCAAGACGTGATGGTCAACTAAACTTTTGAGGTCCCGACAGGGATTAGTACCCAGTTTCTCGTCAAACGCGAGCGGGACGCTATCCACTCATCCACCATGCCTAACTAATTTTGCGTTTCAAACTAACCGCTTGATTGTAGATAAAGCTGAAATGTGAAATACAAACATTGCCTTATTTGCGGTTATTTGCAGTATCACACGCAGAATACTTTCTTTTAGTTGCAGAATTCATTTTTAGCAGTAAAATGGATGCTTTGTCCTTTTTGAAAGGGTTATTTTCTTTTTCTGAGAGCGGTTCCTACCGGTGACATTGCAGATGCGAACCTTTAAACCACAGTTTGCCATGACGGTGACAAGCGACCACTGCGCTGTATGGTCACGTGGCTTTTACATAAAGCGACCACGCCGCCGATACGAGGTTTCTCGCTAAACGAACTCGTCACATGCGCCGGTGTAAACAGTGTTGCCTGGACCCATCAACTAGTAGACTACCTACATTATCACATCATGCTGGACCACGCCCCACCAAGCCTGTTCATAATCAGCTCATCAACTCCCTGTCAGCTGTGTCCAATCAAGCCGCCGTTAAAAAGCAGAGCACAGCTTATCAAACATCCCGTCAAGCTCCAATGGGTTGTTTCCTGGCGTCACATCGTTTACCTCACGCATCGCCACGGTTTGATCGTCCCCTGCTTGGTCTTCGGGCTCCTCTTCTGCGGACTTGCTGCCATTCGTCTCCCCACGGCCGCTGCTGCATGCGGTCAGGCGTACTCCGCACGCCCTGCCCGATTCATACCGGGCACTTGAGGTTTCTGTCTACCTGCCGAGCTGTCCGCCCTCTTCCCTGTCTCCTACTCGTGGTACAGTGTTGGTTCCTGTTTGTTTTCCTCTTACGGCCATGAACTGTACTGATCTGTGGCGTGACAGTTTAAATCCCTTCAACTTGGCATGCAGGCTGTTCGTTTTTACCCACTGCATTGGACTTCAGGCTGTTCGATTTTACCCACTCATTTGTGATTTGCTTGACGACGTGATGGGGATAGAACAGCCTGGTTGGTATGAAGACATGCTTGGAATGACAACGCAAGCCCGAAATGGAAGCAAAAATTAATAAAGCTAAACGCAAGTCATTCCAGTCACCGGAGATGGCTTTCGACTGAGAGATCGTTGGGGCGCTTGGTCTGGGCTGTTGGCGAGTGCATGACTGTCACAGCACTGCTTGATGCTGCTCGTTGGTCCATTTTATTTGATGAAGGTGATTCGAGGTTTTCTCTTTTCAGCTTTGGCACGTTCCTGGGACATGTGGTGGACTGGGATGGGGTTAGGCCTGATCCAGGTAAAATAGAGGCTGTACAAGCCTGGCCTATTCCAACCACTGTTAGAGAAGTGAGGGCATTTCTCGGCCTGGCAGGTTATTATAGGCGCTTTGTCGATGGCTTTGCCAAAATAGCCCGTCCCCTAAATAGGCTTCTCACTGGCATTCCCGCTAACAAAAGGACACAGGCTCGTGCAATAGTGTGGACGCCTGAATGCCAAAGCTCTTTTGAAATTCTCAAAGCTGCCTTAACATCTGCACCCATCCTAGCCTACGCCCACTACGACCGCCCCTTTATTGTTTACACTGACGCAAGTAATCAGGAACTTGGCGCAGTTTTGTCACAGATCCAGGACGGAAAGGAACGTGTCATCGCCTACGCTAGTAGGAGCTTGCACCCTACACAGCAGAATGACGCTAACTATAGTTAATTCAAATTGGAACTTGCATTAAAATGGGCCGTGACGGAGAAGTTTAAAGATTATTTGACAGGTGCTCAATTCACTATCTACACAGACAATAACCCCTTGGCCCACCTGCAGACTGCAAACTTGGGGGCAGTTGAACAACGCTGGGTGGCAGAGCTGGCGTCGTTTGAGTATACTGTTAAGTACCGCTCAGGAAAAAGTAATGGTAATGCTGATGTATTGTCCAGGTTCCCTGTCCCTACAGAGACCTTGCCACCAAGACCCGAGCCTACCATTGCAGCAGTGGACATGACTCCAAGTGGGGAGTGGAGGGACGCTCAGTCTTTGGACCTGGACATTCAAGTGGTAAAGAGGTACGTGGAATGTCAAAGATTCCCTGATCGTACGGAGCGCCTTTTTTTGTCTCAGCCTGCCCAGAAATTGCTTCAACGTTGGAGGAAGCTTGAAGTGAGGGATGGAGTGCTGTACCAAGTAGTTTCCAATCGAGACACACTGGAGGAGTGCCCACAGATCGTGTGTCCAAGTGTGTCCAAGTGTCTGGAAGAGTGTCCATGAGGCTGGAGCCCATTGTGGACCTGATAAAACCCTGGTTGGGATCCGACGACAATTTTACTGGCCGGGTATGGAGGGGGAGGTACGACAGTTCCACCAACACTGTCTCGTGTGTTGCTTACAGAAAAGCCGGGTTGAGCCTAGGGCTGCCCTCCATCCAATTGCCGCAACGTTGGAGGTAATTGGATTAGACTTTTTAACCTTAGGTCTCCCCACAGATACATGGCAAAATATTTTGGTAGCAACAGATTTGTTCACTCGGTTTGCTTGGGCCATACCTACACGAGATCAGACTGCAGAAACCACTGTTAAGATGATCTGGAAGTTCATAATTCAACAGTTCGGCTGCCCTGCGCGTTTCCAATCTGATCGCGGCCCTAACTTTGAGTCTACATTAACTCACTGACTGCCAGGCATTTTCAGATTTGAGAAGTGCGTTCTGCCAGTGTTTTCAGGTGATTTGACCCAACTTTGAAGTGCCACAGAATATTCATTTTTTTAGACTATGTAAACACCAAGGGCACCAAATTAAAGATTAATCTCTCTGCTTTACTCTGAAAACAACAGTTTGTTTCTACCTTTTACCGTTCTTGAGCTATTTTGCATAGAACATAGCATACTTTCACCCATAACACCTGGTCTGAGCAAGAAAACAGAGAAAACCAGGGTTTTGTAAACTGTAACATATCAAGCAGAAAAGTGACTTTTAGATGCATTTTTGCTGCTTTAGTGACAACTCGAAACATCTTCACACTTGTTCCATTATAAAAAAAAACATGACTCTGAAATAATACTTTTGATGGCAAATTGTTGGCAATTTATTCAGACCAAAACCATCAACCAAAACATCCAACATCAACAAAGATCAATAAAACTATACATAATAAAATAGAATGAAGCATGTGAATTTGAGTGTGTGTGTGTGTGTGTGTGTGTCAGGGTGTGAATGTGTGTGCGTGTGTGTGTGTGTGTGCATGTGAGTTAGTGAGTGTCTGTGTGCATGCGAGTGAGTGTCTGTGTGCATGCGAGTTAGTGAGTGCGTGCATGTGAGTGTGTGGGCGTTTGAGTGAGTTTGTGTCTGCTCTTTCAATTGCTTTTTCACTCCTCCCAATAGTTCAGCTTCGTGTGGTAGAGGTTGAAACACTCTCCTGTGTGCAGTGGAACATGGCACGCCGCGCACCACTTGTTGGTCTCACTGCGAAGACCCCTCCGTGTACAGACCCAACATTTTCTGTTCAGTCTCTCCTTCCTGCTAGTGGCCATCAGGTACTCCATTTTGTGCCTCCTTAGTTGCCCATCCAGCCGGGTCTCTGGGTCAACCAAGTAAGGAGCCCTGGGGTTGTGCTTGCCCAAGACAGCCCCCACAACAGCAGCACTCTCCTCATCTCTTCCTCCCTCCTCGACGTCCAGGATCTTGCCACACTCTTCAAGAACTGCAGGAGGTGTTTGCACTCTCCTTGATGGTGTCTGGCTCGATAGAGGACAAAAGCATTTTTTGGACCGTCTAATGAAGGGGTAGTAGGCCACATTTTGGTCCAACTTATCCACTCCATTCATACACTTGTTGTACTCCACAACACACGCTGGCTTCCACTGAGGCACTTTCTGCTTCTCCCCCTTCTGCCACACTTCCACCTTCTCCATAGTGTTATGGTGACAGGTCGTCACCATTTTCATGGCGTGGCAGGCCTCTTATCCTGCCACGCCACCACCATCACCTTCCCGTTGTGTCTCACAATCCTGTCTCCAACTTGAGTTTTTGTGACCTCTTTTATCATTT